GGATGCAAATATAGAAGCGGAAAGGGTCACAGAAGATATTGACTTAGAATATAATGATATACAGGACGTAGAGTCGCAAGATTCTGACAATGTTTTGTCACCGCCATCGACCAGCAGTCAAGCACCTTCAAGGTCTGCAAGCCGATTATCTTCTACTTCTGAAACTCGGAAGGGGGCGCAGAAGCGAAAGAAGCAACTGGCAACAGAAAACGACAATAGCGAACTAATAATGTTAGAAAAACGGAAACTTGAGCTCCTAGAGTCTGAATCACTTAAAGAAAATGATGATGATCTTTTGTTCCTAAAGAGTCTTTTGCCATACATGAAGAGTCTTCCTGCTTCAAGAAGATTACGTCTAAGATTAAAGTTTCAGGAACTGCTTCTTCAGCAAGTTGAGGAGCATGAAAGTGAAGTTTCACAAAATGTTTGTGGACAACCTCCGGCACGTGTCTTTACCTTCCCCGCTCCCTCAAGTTCCGCTTCGGACAATCATACATACCATCATCACATACCGATACAGTCAACACATCCGGATCCGACCACACACAATGTATCTGAAGGTAGTGAATTGGACACCCCTATGCGAAGTTTTTTTTCAGGATATAACGCGTAACATTTTTATTCGGACAAATGTATTTTTTAATAAAATAAAACTCAGTTTTTCATAAACACTATAATTTTATTTTGGCTTACCTCAATGTTATAACCAAACGTTGTTCTGCTGAAATCCTTTCACGGAAATTGGTTCCAATCCCACATAAATAAGGATCCAAATGGCTTAGGAGAAGGTCGAAAGATTCCTTTGACATCCTCAAGTATTCATAAAATTTTTCTGGATATTTTCTGGCATCTCGATAGAGGTGATAGAATTCTCCGAACGATTTCCTACATATATTAATCTCATGCACCCACGATCGTTTTAGTTTTTTTCTATTCACTTTCAACGCAATACTTTCGAGTAGTAATATCTTCTTAACTCGTGAAGGAGCCATGGTGAAATGCTTGGAAAATGCGTCTTTAAATATAAAGTGTGTTTTAATAACAGTCGAGGTATGAAAAGCGAAGCGCCTCCGATATGAATGAACCCGAACGCATAGAGGTTCGCTTGACATGAAGTGAGGCGCACAGCTCCAAGCGAAGCGCGCTCGATGTAAACGTGCCCTTACTGCTCGCCGTTCGGCCCGATCCAAGCTCTGTCGGTTTTCAGCGCAGCATCAAATAATGGCTCGCGACGAAGTTGCACATGTTCGACAGGCATACTGGTGCGGCGAGCACCAATGCGTTATTCTGTAATGTACGAGTACTTAGAAGTAAAACAGTTATTTTTATTACTTGTATATTTTCCTTTAAAACTTCGATCAATGCCTCACAAACTTCTGGAATGATGTAGCTGATCGATTGCTTTGAAATTCGAAACATGTATTGCAAACTACTAAATACATATATGAATCACCGGTCGCTAAAAATCGCACCGTGACTGCAAGTCCTTCTTGCAATGTGATGGCAGCTCTCCATTTTGTATCTTGTTTTTTTGGTCAAATCAACGTGAAAATAGACAATATAGAAGCTATAGTCATAATTGCCCCCTTGGTTTGATGCGAAAATTATCCGCAATATTAAGCGAGAGGTGAAGTACAGAAATAAACTCAGGAGGTTTGGTCGGGGGACTGCTGAATGCGAATTTCAGCGGATACGCAAATTGATTAAGGTCCAGATCAAATGTGCATACGACAACTACATTGAAGATATTCAAAATTCATTATCGCACGATCCTAGGAGGTTCTGGTCATATGTGAATTCAAAAAAGAACACTTCTGGGATCCCTAGAAAGATGTTTTACCTTAACGAATCATTTGATAATTCGCCAGACATTGTTTTTTAAGAGAGTCTACAATGAGTCTTAAGCAGCCAATTTGGGTAATGTGGACGATAGTTTCAACAATGTTGCTCATGTTGATGAAATTTATGCTAATGAAGTAATGATTGCTATTAAGTCTTAAGGGCAAAATGACATCAGGCCCCGACAATATTCCATCCTTTTTTATCAAGGATTGTGCCGGAGCATTCGTGGTTTTTTGAAAAATTCTTTAATTTGTGTATTCGGTCGAAGAAGTTTCCGAAACTTTGGAAAGTCGCCAAAGTGTCCCCTGTGCTAAAAAGTGGAGACAGGTCCAACATTGAAAATTATCGTCCGATCTCCATTTTGTACATGTTCTCGAAGGTCATTGAGATAATACTTTACAATCGTATTTATAGTTCGGCATAATCAACTCTCACAACATCAACATAGATTTATTAAAAACCGTTCAACTGCTACAAATCTAGTTACCATAACGCAATATATTTCTGAGGCTTTGGACAACAATAGTCAAGTTGACGTCATCTACACGGACTTCTCGAAGGCCTTCGATCGAATAAATCATGATGTACTCGAATATGGCTTGGAAAGTTAATCAAATTTGGTTTTTCTAGTGCTGTTAGGGACCTTTCTGAACCTTATTTATCTTCGAGGTGGCAAGTTCATTCTTATAATAATTTTCGTTCTGATACTTAATTAGCCTCATCCGGTGTTCCGCAAGGTTCAAATTTGGGTCCGTTGCTCTTCTTGCTATTCATCAATTATTTATGTGAAGATTTGCAGAGTGAGCGATAATGTTTTGCGGATGATTTGAAAATATATTCCGTTATCAATGATTTGAATGATTGTACTTTCCTTCAGACTCAATTGGACATCCACCAGCACTGGTGTGATACCAATAAGTTATTTCTTAATGTACCCAAATGTAAAATTGTGAGTTATTCTAGGAGGAAAACTACCTATCACTTTATTTACCTGTTAAATCTCTGGAGCGTTGTTCCGAAATTAAGGATTTAGGTGTGATTTTTGATTACATTTGGTGAACATTCTATACAGTTATATGGATTTGTTGTTAGAAACTGTAGACATTTCCATAACATAAGAACCATCAAGCTACTGTATTTTGATTTTGTGAGGTCTAAACTGAAGTATGCTTGCACTGTTGGACAATAAAGCTACTATCATCTATCTATATCCATTTCCGCTAGTATTCGTCTTACTCTGAACGGCAAACATCAAAATTGGATCGTCATTTTGTAGCGCGATGTGATTGCACGACTTCGTTCGATTTGTGATGTTCCTTGCAATGTTGTTCGTCAAAATGGTCGCGCTGCGGTTCGTCGCGTGGTTCAGTTCGCGATGTTGTTACATATCTGTACATGGCTTTAAGGAGACAGATATTTTTATGTACATACATTTCACACCGCGTATGACGTTAAGTTTGTAGAAGAAAGCATATTTACTAAATTACATTAATGTTAAGAGGAACAAACGGGCAAACATCCACGAGATGAATTTTTTACCTCTACAGCTGAGAAGAAATCAATTATGCCCCGGCGATATAAGAATTAGGGCTGTAGTTATTTAGGAATGAAATAACGAATAAACGATCACTCGTCTTCTAGAAATATGAATATATGTATTTCGTGAAATCAATTTTTAGCACCTTGTTCTCACGTAAATAGTATCAGGGCGTACGAAAATTGCCTTAATTGAAAAAAAAAATAACTCATACTATATACTTTTTCTCCAATCATATTCCTTATATTACACGACCACCTGTAAGGATGTCTATAGCCGACCAACAGTAAACCTAACAGAACGTAAGGAAGTTCATTCAGCTTCATCATGCGTATTCCAGACCCATAATATCAATTATTGTCAATTCAGTGCCTTTTTCCACTGATATTCATTCTACTCTACGGCCTTACGTCAAGATACAAAGATCTTCATATCCGACAATCAATAAAGATACTAAAAGACTCAGATGTATATACAAAGTCCATTTGCCCAGAATTGCGTGGGAAGTATAGAGTCAACCTACATGACTCCATTTTTTCAAGACGTAAGATATTTGTCAGAACTTCAAAAGAAACGAAAACGCCTGTAGCAAAAACATGTCATTGCGGATGTGCGTCTAGGTATGCTGATATGAATTAAGTAAGTTTTGCTAGTATCAGTATACCTAGTAGTGGTATGCATAAAATGAACGCTGCGCCATTTTAGTTTTTTGAACACAATAAAAAATTTTATTCAATTTTCAAGATTCCTATTTCCTTCGTCATAACGCAATTAAGATTTGAATAGGGTTTTTACAAAGGCAAAGTAAAATAGATACGTGTATGGCTAGTCAGCCACCTTAAACAATTTTATAATATCTCTCAGATTAACTGACAGTCATTGACTCCTCGAGTAAACCGGATCTAGTCAGCGTATGAAACAAAAGAAGTCGGGAATACCACATTTTATGTTTACTGGTGGATCTCTCTGAAACTTAAACGTGTTAAGTTATGGGAGCATTAATCGAGAGACCACTGCTTTGCAATATATATATATATATATATATATATATATATATATATATTCTATTAAATATTTTCTTGCTAAGACACTGGCATTGGACCTATATTATCATCCAAATTGTTTATGTATCACGATGAAGGCTGTAGCTGTTTTATCAGTAGGTACCTTATAGTAATTTATGCAATGTAAATATTTCTGTAAAATAAGTCACAGATTAGCTAGGAAACGTGCAGAGAAAAACCTTCATCAGTAAAATAATATAATTATGAAACGAAATGATAACAATATTGCTGCCCAACATGTAACAGAAATCATGTAATTATCATCATGACCAGATGATGAACCATAACTCTACCATGACGCAAAATTACAGATGTTAGTTATCCATATAATAAGCTAATATGATCCTAGACCAAACAGTCCACAGTTTTTGTCGAACTGTTAGAAAAAATATACATATGTATGTATGCATGTAAATTACATTGACGCTATTCTATGAATAACTGTAATATGTATAGGTAACGATTGTGCAAAATTTCGATAAAGGTAAATGAACTGATTCATGCAATAGGTATGTATTCTTGTGTATTCTATTATACTTAGTTTTCGCCTACGGGTTTCCGATAAGAGTGACACGTTTTTTTTATCTACGCTATTATTAGGCTAGTGGTATATAAAATTATTGATTATTGACTTGAATTTGCAAAGCAGAAGCGTCAGAGTGAAAATGCAAACAGTTAAAGTATAAACATATAGGTTTTCCATGTTGAAGAAAACTGACCGAAATACGCAACACCCTGTAAGTACCCAAAATCTTACATAGTCGATTGAATGATAACCACAGTGCATTATAGTGTCTCGTCGTCAGGTTTTTTATTGACATTTCTGTTAAAATGATGCCAGAAAATCTAATCTTGAACTAGATGACACCGCGACGCCATGGCGACGTCGCGTCAGCAGCACCTGTAGTCAAACTAAAATATTTAAAAAAGATTTTGGCGCCCGTTGCCACTAGTCGCCACGTCATGGAGCTGCCATCCATGTCAACAGGTGGTTAGTTTCGTTACGGATGCTGGCGAAATCGTCATGGAGTCCCCATGAAGGAAAGCTTTATCGTATAATGATAACAGCTGTGGTGATAACATTTAGAAAAGTTTTTACTCACAACAATTATGACATTTGATGATGATAGCGCACAAGGAAGACGATAACGCAAAGCAACGAAAGGCATGAGAAGTGCATTTTTTAATCAGGTTCCGCCTATGATAAGCAATCTTAGCTGTGGCTGTGGACTCTGGATTAAACATAACTTGGAAGCTACAATAGTGCACTTAGGTGTAAAATAAATGCATCACACTGAATTTTATAAATTTTGGAATGCCATAACGTTTTTAATCTCAACAATATTTTGACGGTTCGATAGATGGTAGTTTCACTCATAATCTTTGATTATTCGCATGTACGAGTATAATATCTTGATAACAGTCACTGTCTCTCTTGTACACGGTAGTGTTTCATTACTCTATATTTGAGACACTCTGCGTTGTAACTTCATCAATCAATTAGACCGCAATGCTTTCCATTCCCAAGACTTAAATTTTCTCATGCCACTATATACCCATAGTGCATAAGTTGAATGGACGTTTTACCAGCAATTTGCATTTGTCCTTTTTATTCTAGTCTAGGAAGAAATCACCAAATTGAGTAGAAATCTACTCCTTCTGTGGAACATTCAAATTGTTCTGTATCCTCTCTATTATTCCTCTACTGAGTCGATAAAAAAGAAAATTATTGTCCTAATTTTAGAACAAGTCATATAATAATTCCAATATTTAATCTTTTGCAATACAGTTCCAGACTAATAAGCAAACTCGGTTCAAACAAATTCAAGGACGGATTACTTTGTTGGGCAGAATAAACCTATCAGCAACACTTCGAAGTTACATTCGTTAGATCGAATTCTGTACCCCAGAGCCAGACTAGGTTAAGTCAATTTTTCTCAAAAATGAGTTTGATCTGTTAAGCTTATGACAATATTGTGAATTTTCATTCGCTACATGCAGCGACCATCATCTATCTGCAATAATAAGGAAGTTACGACTTTTTAACTCATGTCAAGTCGAATACAATACAATGCAAGAAAAATATTTAAAAAAAATAGAATTATCTCAAAACTACTTATTTGGACTTACCCTAGTCGGGCTCTGAGGTACAGAATTAGATATTGCTATTTTTTCACTGACGCATCCAGGAAAGCAGGAATACCTGAATACTGTCATAGCGCCTTTAATAAGGTGGCTACTGGACAAATGAAACAAACGCCTTATTAAGTAAAAATGTGTTTTAGTGTGTAGCTTCTAAAATATATTTTATCGTAGGGTTTATAATTATTAATTGAAGTTTTATTAAATTCTACCGAACAGCCTTGCGAAGAACAAGGCTCCAAGGCCGATATCATAAATGTAAGTTAAACTAACGTTGTGATCAAAATATCTGCTTAGATTGCCCAAAGTATACTCGTACATAAAATAATATTTCGTTAAAATTAAAAATTCAATACAATGATATATTCTCATAATAAATACTATTCAAACATTACTTGAACAGTATCGTAAATCTAAGAATGTATTCGTGAAAATAATTTTGAAAAGTATCATATCGATAACAAATAACATTTAGAATGAAATAAAAAAGTCTAAAATTATCTAGTAAATCTGAGATGGTACAATTTAAAAATACAATACCCAACCTTACCCTACAACTAAAATCTAAGTACTAATGTGATTGCTAGATATTCCTAATAAGGTCCTTGCGTACTGGCAAGCCAAACTGTCATGTTTTGATTATCCTTACAAGGAATGATATTTGGACTAAAATGGGAATAAAGCAGTAATGTTTTTCCTTAGTACTACAGCAAATAAACAAACTAAATACCGATGCGAGCGACTCGGCATCGCATCTGTGTTCTTGAGTTCCTTAGTTGTTAGTGTGAGTAGAAGGAATTTGTCATTTGAGGTTATCAATAGTGATTGATACGATTTTTGAATGTTACCCTATGTAGAAAGGTCAGGAACACAATTAGAATATGAGAAGTCGAATTTTAGCGGGTTGGTCTAACAAGCGGCATTACAGAGCAATAGCTCAGAGGATCAAATTCTATTGGCATATCAGTATAGAAATTGTAGTCGAAGCGAGTATTACAGGCAGGGTCTCATCTAAGACTTCTACAAAATGGAAAGATAATTTAAAGGAAAAAAATCATCCACAAATAATAATTGAGATTATTTGTTTTTAATGGGTCACTAAGTAATAAATATAAACTAAATGCAAGTGACCTGAGCAGACAGTCAGGCGCACCGTCCTGCGCTGTGCATCGTAATTCTTTCGTCCAGAAGTTCTCCCGCTTATGAGGCAAGTAAAACACGTGTTCACTCCCGCACTGCCGCCAGTCCAGTTCCATCCTAGTCACATACCCTTTAAAAAATGGACGTAGCCGCATTTCATAAGCGAGAACCACTTCTGACCAATTAAATCCACACAACGTTCTGTAAAACGGTACTACACGGAACACGTTTCCTGTTCTGATGCAGGACTCCACTCCGGCAACTCACGTAGTACCTCTCTGATTGACTGGCGCTGTACATTTTTAAATACATGTATTTGGCCGGATTAAGATGGAGGAAGATAAGAAGATAGTAGCGAGTGAGACGGTGACATACGTCTTCGGTAGTGCCAACGATCAGGACATGATAAAGGATACAGCACCGACTCGTGGACTATTATGGCAGGTTGTACCCTGCACTTGCGGTAAGTGGTCTAGAGATCGTAAATGGATATTGTAAAGTATCAGTAGAAATCGCTTATTCGGATTGGACTTTGTCTCATCAGTGAATTATTCTGAACTTTCTTAGGCTGATACCGTTTTTTTTTGAGGAGCGGTAGGATATTTCAATAAAAAAAATGATGTTTGGGACTTCTATTTATCACACTTAAGCGAAGTATGTATTTGATCGACATGCGCCTCGCAGATGTACCAAGCTACTTCGCCACAGGCAATCGGTATCGGTCGCCGTGACTGATTGTTCAGTCAAGTCATAACGTAATTGTCCGTTCCCCAAAAATAATGTTCTTTTTCAAATATAATTGGGACTTAGCATTATTTCTCAAAAAATACCATTTAGGATGTCTGATACGTCCGGATAAGTTTACCATTGCTCTAATTTATTAGATTTCACTAACAGGAGACAACAAGTTCGCAATGCTGGTGTCAGAATTAATATAACATATTACTGTCATCAACAGAAGCAATTGCTAACAACATGATTGCTAACAATAATTAACAATGATAAATGGCAGAAGAACCGAAAAAGTAGATTTTTTGGGCTGCAGTGCTACGGTTCATTTAATAAGAAAAAGGCAACTCAACTTGTAAACGCCCCCGAATCGTCCGCTTGGTGTGTTTTCTAACTTTACCTTTTACTTTTGTTGATGAACTTTAATAATAACGTCGGTTTTGAGTCAGTAGTCATATCAAGCTGAAAACTGCAAGGATTGTTTGGCGCATTCCTCTTATCAGAGGAGGCAAGTTTACAAACATCATGGAGTTTCAACGTTTTTGTGTCAGAAGTTGTAAAAAACAATTTTATTTAATATCATTACGTAATCAGCTGCTCCTTGTTTGAAAAACGTTGTATTTTCATAAAATTGATTTTTGCAATCCTCGAAAATGGTTTTGTGGTCGATCTTGTCTTCTGATGAAATTGATCAAAACATATTTGAATTTAACTATTGACGGCGGTAAATTAGTTGCACTTGGAAGGACGTAAGCGTGTGGTGGTGACAAGGATACAGAAAATGTCTCTCATCAAGACCATACATACGAAGTATGTAGTAGATAAATTTTATAGAGACTATTGTTCACTTTATGTGTATATTACTATAGAGCTTATAGTTTCGAGTTTTTCAAAGATTGATACCATTTTTTTTCAAAAAGACTACCACAATTTGGTTTTTTCAACAGATCTGGTGTGACCCCACTCAAAATCAATTCAAACCGTCTTAAAGGACAGATACCATAGTATGAACAAACTTTATCACCGCTTGTTCACTCACACCCTAGTAATTCATGACTACTATAAACGTTGCGGATACGGAGCAATATGTTGAGAGGTTAAAGTATGCAATGCCTTTGAATTTCTGAGTAGCTACATATTAATAGGCCAGTAATAATTGTAAAAGCCTTTTAACAACAATATTGAATTCTTAACCATCAACTGAAGGAATAATATGCAGAAAACTCTAAATCGCTTCCCATTCATCAGTCTGAATTTAGAGCTGGTCTTAGATGTGCCACCATACTACTGGACCTAACTAATGATATTTTTAGAAAAATTGATAAAGGAAATAATTCGGCTTCAATATTTTTAGATTATTCCAAATCCTTGGATACTATCAATCATGAAAGCAGTGTTACACTATATTGGAAGTTCACTCGAAGCATTCTGCTGACCGAGATTATTCTTAAGCGATAGATATCAGTTTGTTGAAACAATCATAGGTAAATCAAGTTTGGGCCGTACCATAGAGGAGTCCCTCAAGGCTCCATACTCTCTCCACTTTTGTTCTCTATTTACATGTGTCAAATTACTAAATCCATCCACAATACCATAATATTTCAGTATGCAGACGATACACAAATAATAAAATTTGATATTATTGTAAGCAAATGCATCGTTTCGGTTCTTTTCGTTTATCTTGATTATTATGCATCGGATCCTAAAAACAAATCAGTTGTCACAAATTAGTCTACTATTTTTGCAAAAAAAACATTTCCATAGTTAACCAGCAAAAAGTTACAGGGTCTAAAAGCAAAAATGACGATTTTTGTTAGTCATGTTTTATCGTTTTGTACAATTTCCATTATGAATATGAACTTTTGGGGAATTATCTTTTATATTTTTGAACGCCAACTTAAATCTGTATAATTTAAAACAAAAATCAACTCGATACGATTATTGAGAGCTCATATTATGAACACATTGGAGTCTGCATTGCACATTACACCAATACTCTAAGTATCTAAATAAATAAATAAATAAATAAGTAAATAAATAAATTTACCCAAGAAATAATAGAGTTTCCTAGTTGGGTTTTCGATTTAATCTGAAAGAAAACTATTGACTAAACATAAAACTATATTTTCCATACAAGTTACACCTTTGAGGTTCCCTTACTTAAACAAATGCATGGTTTCGTATTTTTCGCTTGTGTTCGTTAGTATTCATCGGATATTGACTAATCAAAGAACAAAGTATTTCTCATAAATTGTTCTGTTATTCTTGTAGAATAGGTTTTTTCATATAAATAAACCAGAAAAAAGTTATAGGGTCAGAATGTAAAAATTATGTTTCTTTAGCCGTTTTTTATTGGTTTTTATCATATCGACTGTCTACCATATCACGTCCTGAGGCTCATTTCATACGCTACAGAAATATCTATCCTGTCACAAAAACTTGACAATGCAAAGGCCAATTAATTCAGCTAGTAGCCTGTGTGCTACGCCTACGCTTATATCTTCGCATAGAGCAAACTGTTTCATCTACTTATACAGTAATGGACATAAACTAGTTCTAAAGACAAGAATTGGATTGACGTTATAAATGATGTGACATAAAGACAGATAAAAAAATTACAAAGAAGTGAAAAAAGCCCATTTTCACAGCCGAAATGGAAAAAATAAAAAATGATGATAAGACTTTCCCACCCTCTAATTTTTTTCTGGCCAACTGTGGGATTCTATTTCTTGGAGAATTACTTCATTTATTATTAAATTGATTTGCTACCCCAAACCGACACGCTTATAATTGTTCGTGGATTAACGAACTCTCAATGATCGTAACGAGTTCAATTTTATTTATTTATACAGAATTCAGTCGGCTTCTAAAAATATATAGAAAAATGTCACAGAAAAGTCCATCTTCACAATCGAAATGGTAAGGAACGATAAAAAAGGACTAACAAACTACGATTTTATTTGCCAACCATGTAACTTTTAGCTGATGAACTCTATGTGAAGAACACATTCTACATAAATAGTAGATTAATTTATGATGAAAATAAAAAACGACACATTTGTTTAAATAAAATAGCCTCAAGAAGTGTAATTTTTGAGGAAAATATAAATTTAGGCTCCTTCAATAGCCCTCTTTCAGATTCAAACAAAACTCAACTGCGCTACATTTTGCAAGGTGAAACTACCATTTGACTGGGGTACAAAATATAGATGTATTACTAGATAGAATAATTGTGCAAACAATTCAATTGATGAAACCTATAATCTAAGGTTTGGACCATCCAATTCGCCAAGATGGGATCTAATCATTTTAGCAATACATCCTCCAATGCCATTGTTCAAATGAAGCTAATATAAATAAATTGATACCATATGGCAATTTTAATTGAGCTTCATTTCGATAGCTCGTAATTACGTAAGAACGTAAGTGATTTGCTGTAATAGTGAAATACAAAAGAGTGAAAATTGAGAGAACAAAACATGCAATTCATGAAGCTTTGTTAGGAGGTGTATAGTTCACTGGCGTATCCAGAAAAAGATCCTGGGAGGACCCAGGATACATGTTCAGGAAGATATCCACCTTGGGAGGGAGGTGGTATCGGCGATACCCTTGTGACAATTCAAGAGCGGGGGGCCTCGGCGAATGAAAATTGAAGAGCGGGGGTCCTGCATTAGTGCTTCTGAGAGCGATTGTACTTGTGAAAATTGAAGATCGAGGGCGGGCAGGGTGGCAACAACATATTAATGATCAATCTCGAATGGTTCAGGGATGGTACATGCTCTTACATTTCAGAAAAAGTGCATGCTGTATTCTATATAAGGAAAAACGCAGTAGGCTGTGGAGCTCTGGATACGCCAATGGTATAATCCCTAATCATCCCTCTTATGTACATTATAAATAATCATTGTTCTACGTATTTTTGCTACTTCATAACAATGAGTTTGTTAAAGACAAATGATAATTTTATAAACCATTCCTTAGTGATAGGGTTGTGTTTATCAAGTTTGTCGGCAGTTAACAGTGATTGACTCGCCCATTGGCAGCGCTAACGTTGCCTCGTCTCAGGTGGGAAAGATGTTGCTATCAGCAAATATTTTTTACATAACAAGAATACTTACATGACCAATGCATTCAAATGTATTAACATAATAGGATCATCATATCCATTGCTAATGATTATTTATCTGTGAAGGCATCAGACGTAAGTCGTTTTGCCACAAATATCTATGAAACTACAGCTTATATTCTCTCTCTCTCTCCTAAAAATTCTAGCATTCCAGTAATTTTATTTTATAAAGGTGCGCTGAGTTTCCATGAATGACTTTTACTCTAGTTAATGCAGCAGCCCACTTTAATAGTTTGCCACTCCGAAGTTTGTCTTGTATAAGCTAAGTATCTGCCTTTAACTAGAGAAATGAGCTGATGATCTAAGTCTTGAAATAGTGGGAAAATAACTAAGTAGATGTGAGAACAAAGGATTGTATATTCTTATGCATATGTTTTACTAGCTTTTCACCACGCGATTTTATCGCGACACGGTTAGATGACATCACTAATCAAATGACCAAATTTTCCAAGCGTGCAAGATAGCTGTCAATTTACTAAAGCCGCATACAGATCGAACATCCAACGCCGTGCAAACGATTGCAAGCACATGTGACGTTGGCGTTTGTTGTTGGAAGGTATTCGAATGCGCTCGTATACACCTTCCAGTTGGACCGCATTGGGTTAAGTTTGGTGCTAATATCGAGCGACGGATCTCCTCTCATCGAATGCAGACAGACGACTAAATGCTAGAAGCGTGAGAGCGTGACAAACCCTGTCCAGACTAAATCAAACCTCCCTTTGATGTACCGATCAAGGAGCGAACGCAATCGAAACCCAACGCCGACCTTGGAAACCGTTGACTTATGTTGGCTCGCCCCGTACACACCGATTCGATCACCTCCAAATCTGTAACGACATGTGCCTTGGCTTACGTTGGAATCTCGGTCTGTACGGGGATTAATGCGAGTAAAGTTACAAATGTTACAAATCGTGATGTCAGACCGCGCTGCTATTTGTTTGACGCTGACGGTAGAGATTTTGGTACTTGCCACCTCAGTGGGATATTGTAAAAAAACTATTCCTATAACCTTCCTCGAGTATCAATTAGAATGTATATTAATATCAATTTTTACGTATCCCTGTATTGTGATTCAGACGTGATGCTGACTGGACAGTTTTTTTTCCTTTATATTTACATCTAGAGATTTTAATTTCAATGAAAGATAATTATTCTATTGGTGAAGCGTAATACCATAAAGCTCACAAAAACAAAATTGAAAACTCATAACAAAGAGAAAGTGCAAGTAATTTCATTCAGTGTGAAAGTAATTGGTAGTGATAAAATAATATCTACTGTATTAGTAATCAAAGGTTACATATGTAGCAAGGACATAAATTATAAACACCAAATGTCCTTAATCACTTGCTGGCTTACGTTTTTTACTGCAGCGCGTTGAATCTTTAAAGAAAAAAATGTTTCAAGAGTACTTTATTTATTATTCCTAGTATTGGCATATGTTATAAGTGGATATAAAATGAGAGTACGAGTGCTTTTGTGAAGAAATGACCAAGGTAACTAGAAAAACATTCACTTAGAAAAATATGAATGAAGTACCATAATTTTTTTTTTGAAAAAAATATTGCAAGACTTGTTTGCAGTGACGCCACTGTTGGTGCAATAGAATAACTTTTTACACTAAAATATGTCGTTTTATATCCTCTTATGGAATGCCAAAAGAAAAATTATTTCTAGAGTTATATTGTTATGTGAAAAATTACCAAGATCATATTTTCCAAGTAAAAGTCAATTTTAAAAACTAAGTAACCATGTACATCATTTTATTTTTTAATAGTGGATTTAGTTACAGACAGTGATAAGTCTTTACATATCGTATACATTGATTGTCTTCGTTTCGATGTAGTCAAGGCGTACACAAAGTAAACAATGCATAAACAATGTAAACAATACGTATATAATGTATAAAATGATAATGACAATGCATAGAATAGCAATAAGTGAAATTATGTTTACTCGCAAATTATGAAAACATCGGTAAACCGGCAATCATAAAACCATATGGTTGAGCGCGCTAAAACTAATGAGATTTATGGACAATGGTTCATTTTTTTTTTAAATGGAAAGCAATATCCCGTGGAGTTATATCGTCGCTCGAAAGACAAAGGGGCGTAAGTCGGAAAATGGCCATTTGGAGTTAGCACCACCGGAAATCTCTAAGAGTGGTGACTTTGAAGTTGAGTCATTAATTTTCATTTAATAATTGTAGAAGGAAGATAAACCAAAATATGTGTGTAAAATAAAAAAAAGTTAAAAAAAAATGGTACCTTGTTTTATAAAGTATACTCCCGACAAGTGTTTCAGTGCGGACCTGTATTTGATCGTGAGGTCTTGG